AACAGTGGCATTTCCAGAGTAGTTTAGCTGTTTTGCTATCACATCCCAGGCAGTATAAAAATCTGAAGCAAAAATAGATATTATTTACTAAAGTGATGATCAGAGTGAATCAAGCAGCAAATTTAATAGCATGCAAATACATAAAGGAAATAGAAATTGCATTAGGATCTCAGTATCATTCTCATAGTAGTATGTAAAAGGATTATGTCAACAGTGGCATTTCCAAATGATTATCCAACAATCATTCACAGCAGGATAAAAACATATGTGGAGTTTAAGCTGCATTTCAAGGTAAATAATGCATAGCACTACCTACTACATCTGCTTCAGAATGTTTCTAAATGAAAGATGATATTAAGTAAATAATGCATAGCACTACCTACTACATCTGCTTCACAAAGATGGGCGAGGCTTTCAAGACCAAGAGACTGAATAAAAGAATCTTGGTGTTCAATGCAAGCCTGTTATTCAGAAGACATTAGAGAGCTTGATATGAGATCCAAACTAGGAAATTGACAAACAATTAGCAAAATATACCTCAACAGACAAGATAAGGTCAACACCCCTATCAGGATCCTTTCTGCAAACATCACAAATGGAGAGAGCCATACTAATATAGATCTCTCTATCAGAAGCAAACTCAGTGAATTTGTTTGCATGTAGTACTCCCTACTATCCAAGCAATGGGAAAAGAATAGTGTCATTCGAAGTTCAGTAGCACAGAAGTGATTTCCTTGGCAGAAAATGATTACCTGTAAACTTCCAAAGACACGATCATTGCACTCCCATGTCTTACAGATCAAACGTATTGCAGTGGCATACAAAACACTGAAAGAAATAGAACACTTCTAAGGATAAACAAACAAACAAACACACACACACACATGCGTGTGTGTGTGTGTGTGTGTGTGTGTGTGTGTGTGTGTGTGTATATATATATATATATATGTATGTATGTATGTATATGTATGTATATTTCAGATCAAATGTATTCTAAAGACCTAATAGCTTAAGAATGGCATTGCAGAATGTTAAGATTAATCTAGAAAATTAGTACAAAATAAATCAACCCATGAGACAAGCATAAATGATCACAAAGACATCAATAACCATATTGGCAGGCATGTAACAATACATTTTCCCAAGACAATACATACAATCTACAATCTGTCACAAACAAGATTATAATCTCTACAGAACTTACGATTTAGCATCTTTTTGAAGCATCGGTAGAATTGTTTGAACTACAAGAGGTAACATTGCAGAATGTGAAGCAAGTGATGGAAGCATGCCCATGAGTTTTAACTGCAGACAATGTGACCAATAAGAAACAAAAAATGTATTATAGTTACAAATTTCAGAGCCAAAATGACTTTTGGAAGTTTCAAAATGGAATACTCCAATAATAAAAATATCATGATCAAAGATATCGTAAAATGGATAAAGATTATATCAGACATCAATCATAAAGTCACCTGCATGCCATGGGAAACAACATTCTTGTTGTCAGAATACATATGGTTGTAGAATAGAATGACTAGCATCAATGGCACACCCAGTTTAGGCTCCATCTTGTTGCAAATAGCCAAGAGATCTCCAGCAGAATGTCCAAGACTTTGATGCATAAGAAGTACACAAGCAATCCCACTGAGTAACAAAGGCATTTCTACAAGTAGTAGTTGCCGCTGTCCCTTGATTAGGTTTAACTAGCAAAGATGCTAGAACAACAGAGTAACAGACCAAGTTCCAGCAAAACAAACAGCTTACCAGTATGAAGGCTTTCGTGAGATTCAGAGATCGATTGAGAGGACTTTCTTCTTGAAATGACTTGCTGCATATACTCACTTAACATGGACGTCCATGGTTTTGCTTTATTGTGCTTGTCTACAGAGGACTCAATACCAGAGGCAAAGTTTAGGTAGAAAACACCAGGTAATGAAGATTGGTCCTGAAAAACTCCCAATTTATACAAAGAACTTTTTAGACACAATTTTAATGCTGGCAACAGTGGTGATTCAAGAATAGATAAGAAATCTAGAATAACAGCCAGAAAGCACAACAAGCAAGACAGAATAATTATTGCATTTAAATTTATTCGACATTCCAGTAATGGTTCATACTAGATGCTGCAAAAGTTTCATATTGGTTTTGTTGTGTCCTGTTGTTTGCTGGTGGAGTGTATACCTTCTCTATAGATCATGTAAATTAGGAGATTTAACAAAACAATGAATTTATAAACCAGAAATGGATACATAACATATATTGAGAGTTTCAGAATCTTTTTGTGGGTCCTCTTTCTGCTGATGCATCTAAAGGTGGTATTTCCTGGTAGCTTTTTTCTTTTTAGATAAATGGTTCTTCACTAATTTTTTTTTTCTTAATTAGTACAGCCAAAAAGAAATAACAAAAAGACCCAGAAGCATTTTAACTGGTAATAACAACAAAGTTAAACCTGAAGCCACAAACTCTGCAGTAGCCTAACAGCAATGTGTGCAGATGTACTTATGGAAGGATGTTTCTTTTCAGTTGATACTTCAGTCCTTGGTGCAGCCAATAAATTAATTGAGAGCTTTCTCAAAACAGAAAGCAAATCGATGGCTGCTTGCTTTACTGATTTAGATGGAGAGTATACAAGGTTGATGACAGGAAAAATGAATAAAAGCTCTTCATTTATTAGGCATGAGGATCTATGAACATCTTTCCCTGCAAAAGAAGGTTACATTCATACTCTAGTAGGAGTAATAGTAGAAAGAAAGAAAAAGGTCAGGTCATTAATACTAATAAATGTAGTTGGGATATTTAGAGATGTGTAGTAACAATACCACTGTCATTTTTCCACCTTAAGATAAAGCAAAGCAGTTTCAGTGCAGAGAGTTGTTCATGTTCAAGCTCTGAATGGACAAGAATTATAAATATGAACGATATTGCTGATGATAGTTCAGGTAAAAAACTCAGGCCAAGCTCTTTCTGCACAACCAATAAGCGCCTTGATACCTCTAAAATGTACTCAATGGAACCTGCCGGCTTGAGAAGATCATTATGCAATGAGAAAAGGGCATCCAGTAGTTCCACACTGCATAATTGAGCTTCATGAACCAGCTGTTAGAAGTTATGGTAAGAACTAAATTAGGTAAAATCAAGCACAACCAATCCAGCATTCCAATAGATGCATATATAAACTTGAAGACAGTTCGAAAGACAGAACGGAATGAAAAATAATAGTTAGCATGGTGCAATACCAATCCATTTCCAACAAGCTGCCTCAAGACCACAGAGTATGCATCCGCTATGCATTCAACCAAATAAAAAATCTCTGTATAGTCCTACAAAAATCAGCTTAGAATGAAAACACTAAAAAGCATAGAGGTTAAGAATTCATACAATAAATTTATTTTCCATCCACTTCACAAAAGCAGTAAACTTACATCCTCATTTTTACAGGGAAAGTATTTAATCCGCCCAATTAGTAGCTTGGTAATAGGGATAGCCTCATGAGGAAGTGAACAACATAATGATGCTATTGATGATAATAAATCTCTCAGAAATGAAGTGAGAGAAACTAAAGAGGACATCCGCACAATTGCAGAATTTAGAAAAGGTGTTAGGAATCGACAAACTTCCACCATGCCGCATTGCTTACACTCCGCTAAGAAAATAAGCACCTGTCGCACAAGCTCGGCTTGGACCTCTTTTCGGCTAGAAAGTATCTGCCATCCATTAATACATGCATGAGCATCAAACTACTAGCTGCATAAACTAATTAAAATGTATCTATAAACGATAATTCATCATCATATTGTAACTATACCATGACAAATGGATGAGTTTCTGAGGCTTGGAACTGAAAGGAATGCGGGTTGTTCAGGAAACCTAACCGAACAAGATAGCCTAAACCTCTGACGAAGAGATTTACGAAGCGAGAAGCAGTGGCTTCGAGGGCTGACTGGAGCTCCAGTAACCCGCGAGAAAGGTCCAGCTTGGAGTCCCGGACGAGGCGACATAGTTCACGGACCGACTGGTCAACGACGGCAGGAGAGGCGGAGTGGAGGCACTGAGTGATGGCTTCAGTTCCGGGGTGGGAGTCGGGGCCCAGATGTGGAGGGGCGGAGCGAAGCTTCTCGAAGATTGAAATCACTGCGAGTTTCTGAAACGATGGTTGAGGAATGCGGATTTTCTCTAGTAAAGAAGAGTAGGCGTCCATACTCCGATGCGAGCAGACCCGCAGTAGTAGTCGGTAAAGATTTCCGGCGGGGAAATACCAAAGAAAATCAAGGCGTTAACGTCGCTCAATAAAGGGAAGAGCTCAAGGCAGTGAAGTGAAGACAGGCGGGTGAATGCAATTAAACCGGACTTAACTTAATGCTGGTTACTGCCAAGATGCTCTTTTAATCTTTTGCTTTTGAATTGTTTTGATTTGATGGCTAAATTATAATTAATCTCATTCTCCAACAAGGTTGAATCTCAAACTTCAAAAACTTTTACATTTCGACATTTGAGAAGATATAAATCACAATAATTCCTTTCTTAAAAAAAAAAAATCACAGTAACTCTCGCTCGAAACCTAAACCTATCCCATACCAGTGGACCACAAGCCACTTAGTAATCTCTACTTTTTTTTTTATGACCCAATTATAGATTAATGATCTGTTAAAAAGTACTGCATTTGCTATTTGCAAAGGCTTGAAATGGAGTATTAAAGAGGTTAAGAGTGTTTTAGAACTATTATTATTCAATCAGTGTCATGATATGTTCATTTGTTAACTTTACTCTCTGAACTTGTAATTATGAAGTTAAATAAGCCATCAAACATTTGAACGTCTTACTAGATGAAATACAGGACATACAAAAAGTACACCCTCTCCTTTTCAATGTTCGTAATAATGTACTTGGGAAGGTGATTTCCCACTCTGATGGCGGCTATTTTTTCCAAATAAAAGATTACCATACTAATTTAGAGACCAAAAATGCCATAAACAGAGACCGTCAAACACCCAGACATCTTTATTAAAAAATTATTATTATAATTATTAAAAGAAAAACCAGGTTGGTCTCACAAAATTTATGTTGCAGAGAATTTAGAAGGCTAGAGTAAAGCTAAATAAATAAAATTACAACACGACAGAATATATTGCAACAAATGCAATAGCATATCAAAATTTCGGTTCCAGCCTTATATTCACAAATATGATACACAAAAAATTGATTGCACTACCTAGGAATATTGAGACGGACACAAACTTGAAGCCTGCAAACCGCCATTCATGATTCACCACCCAGTATTGAGACTCAGCTTTTCATAACTAGGACTATTTTCTGAGCAATGCATTCAATTTGCTTTCCAACTGCAAGCCAGAATATTATATGTACATTTCAAATGTCCTAAGAACATTAGACCCAGAGAGGGTTCTAAAACAAAAGGAGAATAAAGCAAGGAAAGAGATAACTTTGAGAGCGGTCGTCATTCAACAAGTTCAAAGCCGATTACTACTTTAGGCTCCAAGTGTTAATGTGTTATAGACACAAAGAGAGGATATGCCTCAAGTCAAAATTAGATGTAGAAGAAGTTTTGTTTGAAGTCATTTTTATTTGATGAAAAATAGGACACTATTGCTGAAAATAATCAATAAATCAATAAATACTTACCTGAACATTTTTTATCTTTTGTCTCTGCAACTGTTCAACCAGGCTCCCAATGCTGAATTTTTAACACAAATTTCAGAAAAGAAGAAGGAAAATATCATGCTGCAATTGAAAAGCTCTAGGTTCTAGCTACATACCTTTGTTGCAATTGAATCACCTGGGACAGCAGCTCTTTCTCTCTTGTAGAAGTAGAAGGGATCTTCACATACATACAAAGTCGACCAACAGTTAAATGCAGCTGCTGCCTGCTGGCAACCCCTATTCCTACTACCACAAAACTAGCTAACACAGCTGAGGTTCTTTAAATAGACACACACAAAGGGTACCTGTGAAAGGTCAGTTGTCCCCGACTCAACCAACTCCATAGGGGTGACTGCATTGAAGTTTAAAAAAAAATAAAAATAAAATAAAAAAATGAATGCATCAGAGATAAATTTTCTAAAAATAAAAACAGGGGAAATAGCAAATGAAATGATAATTACCAGATGTTTGCTCCACATACTTGATCAATCTAATGATTTCTTCCTGAATGGATGAAGATGAAGTATATCAGTACCTTCCACATAAAAGACATGCAAAAATTCAAGTACGAAGGGATTACTCTTTGCAATGTATTTTGCTGAAAAATGCATTGCAGTGATGGGAGAACTGAGGTAGCTGTTAGGCCTGAAGCAGTTGCAGCAGTCAAACCTCCAGAAGCTGAGTTGAAGAAACTGTTTGTAGGACCCTGAATGCCAGAAAGAAAAGGCAATTGTTACAAAGCAATTGGCTAGGAGATAAGTTTCAAAGGTCCTTAATACTGAATGTTCCAAATAGAGCACATCGAAATTTGAGGAATTATAAACACTTAACAGTTGAAACTTGAAAGTAAAATTTGTGAGCACGCGCACACACAAAAGATGCAACACTGCTTGGAAATATAATACACCTTTGGACTCAGATCTGCTGAAGTGACTTTGAAGCGTCCCTTGCGTTGGACAACAGCTCCTTCAGAAGTATCTTCCATTGCAATAGCATATACCAAAATGTAAGGAAAGATTAATTACAAGAATCTAAGCATCCGTTCACAAAAAGGTCATGCCAAATATATATGTATACACACGCACAAGCACTCAATCTCATAGATCAAAATAGTATGTTACCACTATCTTTCTTTTGGCGATACTGCAGTGGACCACTATAACTACGCTCTGACGGATACCTTGTCTGTGGATAGTCCCTTCATAGCAATTGGAGTAACACGTCATTATACTTAAACAGAAATATTTTAATAATTCATCAGCCTTTGAAACTACAGTATAATGGATACAGCCTTAAATTTCCCATGTGCATGTTACTCTTACAGGAATATGATAGCATTAGCAATGTCCTGGATTAGAAAATGAGCATTTACCTCTCTCCATCAGTGGTAATGTTTTTTAAGGAGAGATTGTTATCCTTTTGAGGTGAACCACTAGCTAGCTTCTTTTGCCCTGGGATACCAGAGCATGCAAATGAGATGCTTTGTCCTATATTTTCATCATCTCTTCCACCTTCTTCACCCCCACCTTTGTTCAATGACAGTATGTCATTCTGTTGTTCAGAATCTGAGGGTATACTATATTTCCAATTTGGACTACCAGCACTCATGTCATCCTCACACACATCAAAGCATCCCCTGCACCAAAACCAGATTTACATAAAACGATGTCTGAAAAGTAGATAAATATACCAAGCTATCAACATGCTCTTCTATTTATATTGGTTACTTGATGCCTATAAATGCAACTTCCTTTAAGACTAAGCTCACTAGATATTGCAGATTGGTAGTGCAGACTAATATGGCTATAAAGTATAAACTCATCCTTTGAAATCAATGCAAAATATTGGATGTGCAGGTATCTCAGAAATGAAACAAATGGCTGTCTGATGTCCCGTTACATCAGAGATAGAAAATGGAAATATATCTTACTTGAGTGCCTGAAGAGGTTTAATGGGAAACCCAGCAAGCGAATTCTCTAAATCATGAACCTCATGTAGACCAACCTGAGTAATTATATTTGCATATTATTGGGTGATAGAAAGAAAAGACTAAAGGAACAAAACTGAGGTGGCATATACTATAAAGTCAATAAAATGAAAAACTGAATACACGTGTAGATCCTATGAACTCCAATAAATGAGAAAAGCCTGTAGCATGAATGGGAAGATTCAACAGGAAAAGGCAAATGGAATATCAACTTGAATATGGATAAAAGAAATACTTCTGCAGGTGCATCATTTGAGTGATTAGGCCTTTCTGATGAAGAACTAGCATCATCATTACTGTCCCTAGGCCTCCCACTTGAACTTGGACCTTCGGCATTTAAAAATTCATCATCCTGAATCTGCAGCAACACAGAGAGCAAACAATCAATAATCTAGAGTTTGCTTCCACATGCCATAAATTGATTTGAGAAATGAATGTCAAACTAACTGCTTACAAGTGAAGCTTGGTTCTTCAAGTCCTCCAGGTTGAAATTCCATGCACTGATTCCCCGAATGTATTCTTGCTGCAAGGTAACCACAAAACAAGCTCAGATGAGAAAGTCCAGAGTAGTACAAAAATTTTCAATAGCTTTCTAAGTTGTAAGCAGTTTTTGGAAAGGGAGGTGAAGATGATGGTAGAACTGGAGGAAGAAAATGTACATAAGAATTCAAAACATAAACCATTCTGTTATTGTCATGACTCATGAACCAACTTAATTGAAGCCACTATGAGGGTGTGCCTCTTGAATAAAACAGAAATCATCAAAAGCATGAAATCAACAGGGGAGAACTAGCATTCTGTCATGTTTTTTATGCAAGGAAAGTAATTAAAGCCCTTGTCCACAGATTAGAGAAGAGTGGAGGAAGAATATGTCCTGTAATTTTCTGTAGAAGATGAGTTCATGCTCATTAAATCAGGGCAGGCTAAGAACCCGATGATTGGGGAAAAACACAAGAACAATGAAAAACCTGTAACAGTGAAAAATTCTACCACAATAGGAGATAAATACTGCACGAATCCTACATCTATTTTGATATTTGTCTGGTAAGGATATCAAAATTTAGGGTTTTCAATCGTTACCTGTGATAACTGTTCCTTGTCTTCATACAATGCCTTATTCTGTACAAGAACATCTGCTTCTTTTGCCTGAAAGAATGCACATGCAATGTAATAGACAACCCAACGGAAACATGATGAAAAGAGTCAAAACTGAAATTGCACAGTTCAAGAGGGGCAGAAGACCTTAAGCATCCTATAACGGTCACCTAGGGGGGGTAGGCCTTCAAGTATAGTGCGTGATAAGTAATCATTTGAGCGTCCCTGTTTAAAGAACTGGTGCTTCAAAAGCTTCTCTGCGGAGGGACGCTTTTTTGGATCCTTCACTAAGCAAGCAGCAACCATTTCCTTGAAAGACTGCATAGGCTAAAAAATTTCAGAAGACGGTTCAAAGCTATAATCAAATTTTACTAAACAAAACCAACCTTGGAGAATCTCTTGTCCCTTTCATAGTCCAGACCTGGTGGTGCATTTTGCAGGGTCATGAGCAGAACCTGGATAAAGAAGAGATTGAGCAAACTTATATAACAATGACATTGAGGAAAGACAAGCACTTCCAGACACAGAATATCACCTTCATTGGTGGGTACTTGGAGAATGGTGCATGGCCATGAGCAAGTTCAAGGGCTGTTATCCCAAAGGACCATATATCTGCTCTGCTTATGTGAAACTATTTTAGAATAATTTAAGCATAATTTATACAACAGTTGATAACGAGATGCTAATTAGATACTCACTTAAAATCATATCCATGCAGTTGCTGCATAACTTCTGGAGCCATCCTGAATAACAGTCCAGAGTAATTCACAATACCAAGTAGATAAGAGATGTTATTTCTGATGAATCTAAAAATACATATATTATAACTGGAGAATGGTCATTAACTTACCAGCAGGGAGTTCCAACAAAAGTATTTCTTGATCGCTGTCTATCACCAGTATCAAACATACAAGCAGCTACTCCAAAATCAGCTAATTTGACAGCACCATCCGTATCAACTAATATGTTCCCAGCCTGCGAATATTACAGTGGAAACCAAAGCTGCAAAAGTCAGAACTTCATTTCTGAAACATCTTCACCAAACATGCAAATATTCCAAGATGTTCAGAATTCCATTTGTAGATCATGCTTGTAAACAACAATTATTTAATCCATTAGAACAGAAAACTGAGCAATGTATAGGAGGAAGCAGGTAAGCTTTTTGTACCTTTACATCTCTATGGATATGCCCGTGGTAATGAGTATATACAAGTGCTTTCAGGACTTCACGCAATAATGTAGCAATAACAGGCTCTTCAAAACCTTCGGGATAAGAAGATTTCATGATATGAAGGCAAGACCCTCCAGCCATGTAAGGCATCACAACCCAAAGACTATGACCAGCAGTGAATGAGCAGTATGAGCGTAATACATTTGGATGATTAATCAAAGTCATTGTCTGTACCTCTCTGCGGATCCCATCCTTTAAAAACACAAAGACATTGAAACCTTCAATTAATCATCAGAAATTACAATTTTTTAAGGAATGCCTCAACAATCAGGTGTATTGCAAATACAACTATAGATATATGTCCAAAAACAATGGTGTTTCATGTAAAAAATCAATATAAGTGTCATATATGTTGACAATAGGAATGGATGCTCATAAAATGGGCTTAATTTCACCTGTTGTACTGAAACAAATATCGAGAAAGACAATATGCAGGTATGAAGAAGTCTACATACCAGGTCATTATTACACCTTTCCAGATCAAGAACTTTGACTGCTACTATCTCGTTAAGTGGGATGCAGAGTGCTCTGTACACGGTTGCACTGACTCCTTCTCCAACTTCCTCATATAACTTGTAATCCTTAGCATTAACAGGGAACTTTTTCTCTGGCCCCTCTTCCATAGTTTCTTCTTATGACATAACATAAAAATGCCCTTTTTGCCCTAAGCTCTCAAAGAAGATAAAAAGGATGTTGGAAAGATCCAAAATTGTATGACATTTCTTTTTATGATATACCATTTTCCTTCTGATCTACACAGTATTTGAATCCAGCTACTTCATAGGATTAATTTTCAACCAATATCACCAACTACAACAATTACTGACTAGAAAGTCACCCAAGCTGAGCGAACTGTGATTAGCACCAAGTAACTTAAGAGGCCACTGCTAAACACTCTTTTGCCAATGCTTCAACAATACACTTATATATGAGTGAGTCCAATCAGATTCCAGCCAGTATCTTCCAAGAAAAAGTACACCAGTGTCCAATGGAGCTTAGTCACAGTGAAGATCAGACCATTCAGAAAATATGATAAAGCAATACTGCCTGTACAAATTACCAACAAAATTATTAAGCTGTATTGTGAGTTTCAATGCATATTATAGAACTTCAGCCATAAACCTTGTTAATGTATTGCTTGTATTTTTCCTTCAGATGATCATCATGGGTCCTTTATTTGAGTTAATGGCCATCTAATATGTGATTCTGGAATGTATATATATGCCCTCAGTTCTCTGTATCATGAGAGTGGAAGAGCATCCTATGGCTGTTTTAATGTCAATGACTATGCTGTCAAATGGCATGTATTTGTTTCAAGGTTAGCTAACATTTATTAGTTTCAGTGGCATTATGATAATTAGTGATTGCAATAGCAAACAGGCTATAAATACCATATATGATCTTGATTAATGGGAAAGTAACCAATAAGAAATCAGTGGAAAATTACCTAAAACTAACTCTTGTGCATAGAAAGACAGCTGAAAATTAAAGGGTAATCCATCTCCAATTTCCAGACTTTAGAAAGCATCCAGTCAAAAGACCAGGAAAAAAAAAAAGAGGCAAATTTATTGCAAGGATATCTATCAAACCCAAATACTATAAACTGCCAGAAAATGTGATCTAGTTACCTTATGCAGAGTATATGTTTAAGAAATGCAACCAAATTACCATGTACGACACATGTAACTTCAAGATCAATACATCTTACTCTGTTTATCGCCATGTATTGAAAGCTTTATACTTCAATTTGTACATAATCAGTGTGTATTACCAAAAAATAAAAATACTGATATAGAAAATGGCACATCCATGAAAGCAAACAATAGAACCTGGAAAATGAAGTACGGATACTGAACGAACTTACATATATGATATATGTGATTCACATGTATTCACAAATAGTATCTTCTGCCTCTGTGTGTGTTTGTACTGCGGAGAATACTAAATAGGTATAGATAGATCGTTAGATAGATGTTGAGTGGATTTGTACGTAGCTCAAGCAATCGGAGTACGGAATAGAGTACGGTATGGAGTACGGACCTAGGGTTTCGAGACCAGAGAAAACGCTAAATAAAGGACTTCGATATGAGCTGAAACTGACAGAACCTACCGGTCTGCCACGGATATAGTCGTCCACAGCTTTCGCGGTCGAATCTTCACCGTCGAAAGTTTCTCAGAAAGGGCAAAAAGTATAAATAACAAAGAAATATGCTGAAAACAATTATCATTTTTCTCTCTCTCTCATAATTTATGAAAAGGTTATGGGCAATTGGCTGAATAATATTTTTATATACTTTTTTTTTTTTACAATTTGATGTAACTTGATAAACAAATTAGAATAAGATTGGTAATTAAGTAATTTGGTACGATTGCAACAAAAAAAAATTAAAGTATGAATCTTGCATTTATTAAAAACAATTACACATAACAATTTAATATAATATGATATCACTTAAATCAAATATTCTTTATAAAATTATAATTACTGATAAAGAATATCACTACTATCAAAATTTAAGAAAAATAAATAAACCACATTCCAATACAATTATCAATAAAATAATAGTACATATAATAAATTTAGTTAATTTTACTTTACTATTTTATAATATAAATTTTGATCACTTTACTTGTCGATATATATTAAGATAAATTTACAATATTGAGAATATAGTGTGACATCAACTCCAAATGTGAATGGTTGTGTGCTTTGTAATGCTATGTATGTTGTGGTAGTAATGTCATTGTTGCAAAAATCGATGACGTTAGGTGTCCCTAGGCCGAGGCGAATTATCCCTTAGTTGGCAGTGAACTCGGCCGAATTCGGCTGAGTTAACTCATCCAATACGGTCAAGTTAATTGAGTTAACTCGATCGAGTCGGCCTTGATAATTTTTTAAAACTTATATGTGTGGGTGTGTATGTGTGTGTGTGTGTGTGTGAGAGAGAGAGAGAGAGATGCATACACCCCCACATGTGCATTGTATTTTTTTTTAGTTAGCCGCCTAGGCGTTACTCCACCGTATGACTAGCGCCTAGCCCATACTGCAACCATGAGTAATACAAATATTATTATTGAACTATAAACGGTATATTAATGTTACTTTATATGTTTTGATATGGGGTTCAACCTCATGGAGTTTGAAACAAAATTTCAGTGATAACTTGAAAGATTTGTGATCAACAAATTTGAAGATTTTTGCAAAGCACATTATGCTCATTTGGCACCTTTATGATTCTCTCGAAGGTTCTCATCACACAGTACTCAATTTTTTATTTGTTTCAGATTTTCACTTTATCACGTCATGCAAACAATATAAGAATAAGAGTTGTTACAATTATACTATATCATTTATGATTGACATGTTTTACTTAAAGACAAACAACTATGCAAATTGGTTAGCCTTGAATTATAATGTTATAAATTTGGGGCTACACATTTTAGATAACCCTTTTGACACGTTATGATCATGTTTGACTACTGATATAGTAGAAGTAAAAGGAAAATGATAGATGTATTCCCATGGAGTATAACTCTCGCAACGTGTACAAATGTTATTGAGTAAATAAAAGTGAATGAATAAAATCAGTGCTGCATTTTGTTATTTAAATCAATTAAATGATGAAATCTCAATAGATAGTTGATAGTGTTAATTGTCACGTAAGCGGTAAGCGGTAAGCGGTAATTAAATAAATACGAGACCAATTAAAGTAAGTAAATAACTTTTATTGATCACTGTGAAGCCCCTAAGTACAATCTACTTGGTCGCTCTGAGTACCGACTGACTGCGGTCGGGATTCTCTAACAACAACCTATCGATCGTCCAAAAGTCCCCCACATTGTCGCTATCGCGGGTATTTATAGCCGCGGAGCCGGAGACACAAATCCGGCCGTTCGGCATGCTTCCCACGTAGCAACCACGTGTCGACGTCCTGGGTGCCCTGCCTGTCAATGCGTGGAGCCGCCACGTGTTCTTCGTCAGCTCTCTCGCCAAAGGGCTACCGCTCGGTGGTCGACACTGCCGCTCGGGTAACTCCCGGTCGGATCCCGACCGGGTCTTTCACAAGAAACCCGACCTGTTACCTGCAAAGACAATAAGAAAAGGACGAAGGCACACCGGTCGGGGTAAAGCTATGTCGGTCGGGGCATTTCCTACCAATAGTAAAAAATGAAGTAGAAAGTGTGACTATGTGAGTAGACATAGTATTACTATTTTTAAAAAATGGTTGGAGTTCCTTAAAAAAAAAAAAAATTGTTTGAATTTTGTAATTATGACACTTATTCTTTAATTTATTTTTTGTTTGGAGTTTTGTAATTATTATGACACCTTTCATTTCATTTCCCTTTGTATACCAAAAAAGTATAGTGACTACCTAACTACGAAGTAATCATGATTTTCTTTTTTTAAATAAACAGATTATAATAATTATCATTCACACAAAATATCATTACCTTTTTCTTTGTCCATTTATAAAACCAGACACAATATCTTTTCAATATTGTATATATACACTGTTCGTTTATATTGTAATGCAAAAAAATTAAGTCTCTCATGAATGAATCTCATAAATTATATTTTTTTCGACCTATATATTAATGAGTATTAATAGAATATGAACCCGCTATGATTGATATTTGATAGAAACTGTTGCTTTGCAAAGGATGTGATTAGTACATTATCCCTCACGTTTTAGATCGGGGCATTTGTATTTCCTTTATGTTATGATTTTTTTTAGTCTAAAAATCCATGCAAAAACTCCAAGGAACATATATATAAAATCTTTCTTAAATAATGTCACACACAAATTTTTTTTTTAAAAAAAACTTGACAAAAATCATTGTTAGAACTGCTCTTAAGTAGTTAACTAGTTATATATATATATATATATATATATATATATATATATATATATATATTTTAAAATGTTACTAACTCTATTATAATGTAATATTATAAAAAAGTAACTATATGACATTTAAATTTTCAAAAGATTATAATACGAGCATAGTAATATCACTATAATATTTTTGTATTCCTTTGAACCAAAAGGAAGCTAAAAGTACAAAAATTTGCTGGGATATCTAAACAAAGGCAAAAACTTGTGTGATATGATACATGCAACGGGTCGGATCAATATAAAAATAGTACTTATACCAAAAAATGTAATAATAATAATCAAGAATAAATGTTTGTTACGCATAAAGATAAATGTAATATTTGTTATATTTGAACTTAAAAGTATTATATTTAAGTATTAAATTAGTATTTATCTCTGTCTCATTTTATCTGTCATACTTATTATTTATTAGTCAAATTAACTCGTTCTTCTTTTGTTTATTTTCTTTATTATTATTTTACTTATATTTAAATTTGATTTTTTTTGTATTTAATAATACAGTTTGTGTAGTTTCTATATATTTAAAAATATAAATTTTGTATATTAATACTAAACTTAATAGTATGAAAAATTGAATTAAAAATATATTCAGTCCAGACTAGGGCTGGGCACTTCGGTCGTCTGTTCGATTTTTTTCAATTTCGATTTCGAGTTTTCGATTTTAGAAAAGTTGAACCATTCGGTTTAACATTATAGTTCGGTTCGGTTTCAATCGGTTCGGATTTAATTCGGTTCGGGCTTCGGTTCGGTTTAAGACTTTACGAGAATTGCGATCATCAAATTTCAACATTTCATAATTTTCCAAACATACTATCAAACAATACCTATTCACATAATCCACATCTAAAATATAAATGTTATATAACAAATAATAATTCAAAGTTTAAACATATTACTAAATAGTAAATACTAACATCACATACTAATAGCAATCTAATTACCAAAACATCACATACTTAGAAATTAGAATCCAAAGTTCAAAGTTCAAACATTACAAACATGAATCACGTAGTTCAAACTTCAAATCCAATGTTTAAAGAGTACAAACATGAAACATCAAATAAAAATATTCAGTTGGAATATTTTTATTGATAAGATGAAGGAATAAGGTTCAAATTGGCCACTGAACGTAACCTGAAAATACAATTAGGCCATTGAATGAACAAAAAGTTCAATTAGGCCACTGAACACTCAAAAAACGTACAATTAGGCCACTGGACTCTCCAAACGTATGCAATTTCACCGGATAGCAGGTTACCATCAATTTTAGCAGGTTACCTGCTTACGTGGCAGCTGAGTTGTCATTTTTAATAATTTTTAAATAATTTTTAATAATTAATTTTAATAATAAATTTTATAAAAAATTGAAAAAAAATTAAATAAAAAATAAAATAAAGTCGTTTGTATTTTTTTAAATAAAAATTTATTATTAAAAATGCCAACTCAGCTGCCACATAAGCAGATAACCTGCTAAAATTGAGGGTAACCTGCTATCAGGTGAAATTGCACATTTTTGGAGTGTTCAGTGGCCTAATTGCACTTTTTTTTCGTTCAGTGGCCTAATTGCATTTTCAGGTTACGTTCAGTGGCCAATTTGAACCTTATTCCTAAGATGAATAATCATCTATCTATATATTTGATATTAAAAAAACAAGTGTCAATTACTATATAGTTAATTTTTGGACACAACTGTCATTGCTAGTGCACTCGAAATATATTTCAGTACTATAAAATAATTATAATGTACTGGAAATCAAAATTAGAATGACTGTAAAACACATTAAATTTATAGAAAAACATGAAACTAAGGAAAATACTAAATATTGTAAATATAACTCAAGTTAGATATAATTGTGAGGTAAAGAACAATTACGACAAACAACAAAAGTGCAATGTAGAAAACAAGCTATAAAGAAATCAAATAAAAAATTTAAGGTTCGGTACCAGTAAGAATGAGAACTGAACGGCGGAGCAAGCATCAAAGAACTTGGATTTACTTATTTATTATTATTATTATTATTATTATTATTTATTTATTTAAAAAATTATATAGCATTCGGTTCGGTTCAGTTTTTGCCAAACCGTTCGATTTCGGTTCGGTTCGATATTAAACCATTCTGGTTACAAAATCTCGAACTATTCGGTTTTTTTATTACTAGTTCGGTTCGTTTCGGATTGGATCGATTCGGTTTGGTTCGGATAAATCGAATCGAAATGCTCAAACCGAACCGAAATGCTCACCCCACGTAAAATAAGGCAGAGAGAGTATTATATTTTTATATTAATTAACTCGGACTCTCGGAGTGACTCCTAAATCAAGCATTCAGAC